TGCATCAAACAAAAATCGCATGGACTTCTAGTCAGTTTTTAAAATGAAATGCCTACCTATTTAGAGGTTCCTCCATTTCTCAACAGAATCAACTACTGCAAGAGCCTCTTTCTCTACCAGTGCATAGTTTAACTCATTGCCTTGCAGTGATCTTGAATGAAAGGCAATTGGTTGTCCTGACTGAGTACTGCTGATACAAAGTTGTGCGATGCATCAGTTTCTACAACAAATATCAGATTATCACTGATTGCAGTCAGGCTGGCATGTATCAGGTTAGTTTTTAATGACTGGAAGGCTAACAAGGCCTCCCCTGATAGTGAAAAAGTGTGGGTTGATTTTAATTTTTTGATTTTGTCAGAAAATTTCTTAATCCTCCTTGCATAATATGCAAACATTCCATTGATACGTTCTAAGGACTTTGGGTTTTGTGGAGCAGGTAGTTCCATTAATGCCTGCAGACACTCTTGGTCAGGCTTGCTAATCACTTCGGATATGTGATATCCTAAGTTATCAATTGTCTGGGAAGAGTGTTTACGTTTCTCTTCATTGTATGTCCAGTTTGGCAGCCTTTTGGAAATGTTGAAGGTTGACATCATGTTTTTCCAAAGTGGTGCCACAGATTATTAGATTGTCAACATAGACATATGTGTTCTGTAGATCATGTTTCCTGATGAATTCATCCATCTTTCTTTGGAAACAAGCAGTCCCATTTGTCACACCAAACGGCATCCTGGTAAATTGGTAGAGCGGACCCCCAGATTGGAAAGCTGTATAAGGCCTGTCATCAGGATGCAGCAGGATTTCGTGATATGCACTTTTTAAATCTATTGTGCTGAAGTACTTGTACTTCCAGTTTTTGACCTTTCATGAGTATATTAGTGGATACTTTAAATCCAGATTCAGTAGCAGTAGAATAAATACTTGAAAGTGTGGGGCTGTTATTAACCAACACTGAGTGGACTGTGTTGACAATTGCAGTGGACTAAGTAATGTACTTGCTTGAGGGACACATTTTTGCAAAATGTCTGATTTTGGAACATTTATGGCAGATCATATGCCTTGCAGAACATTTGTTTCATGGGTGACATAGATTTCTACAAAACCAACATTGTGATTTTGTCGTGGCTAATGTGACTTCTGCAGATGATCTCTCTTCTTTGACAGCTGCACTCATGGTTGGATGTGGATGTATTCTGTTGGATAAATGCAACATTTTTTTGTGCAAGGTCAAGAGAACAAGCCTTTCTATAAGCATTCTGCAAGTCCAACATTCTATTCTTCAGGAGTCTCTGTCAAATAAAATTAGAGTCCAGACCATTGGTGAATGCATTACAAATGGCTTCTTCTTGGTATGTGTCTGTGGTTACTGGTTTGTGTGACACTATTTAGCTATGGTAATTGGCTAACTAATTAAGCATGGAAATTAAAATGAGAAATACTTAAGGCGAGAAAAAGCTATAATGAAAGACATACTGAACGATGTTATTTTTTTTAACAAAAGAAAAATGGGTAAAGATTTTATTGTCATTTGCAAAGAAGGGTATCTTTTTTCACAGAAGACAGAAAATTCGTAAGGTATCAGGACCCTGTTAGAATTAATTTATGCCATGACGCGACAAGGAAAAACAGAATACGGGTAAAGATAACAATCTGCCCATGGCAATAATGAAAATTTCAATTTGGTCAAGAGGTATACAAAGCAGAGTTCTAGAAGATAATCGAAAACTGGGTCAAGCATGCGACCAAGAAAGAATTAGGTGAGACCACCCCAAAAGAAAAAAGGAAGGAAAATGGGAAAGAGAAAAAGAAAAAGAATAAGCCATTAACTATCTTTCGGAGATATCATTTGGTTTTGGAAGGAGAAACATCTGTTGTATGTCCAGAACTTGTCATGATAAAAGTTTGTTACCTGGACAAGCTGTTGGCGACAGAATGCGATGATGTTGGGAAAGACAAAGATATTTAGTTGACCACCCATATAATAAGTTGGCGAAAATCCCATTAATGAATCCCAGATGACATCAAGTTAAGATAAAATTTTAATGTCCACAGTACGATTCATAAGAATTCTGACCAATGGAAAAGAAAGAAAAGAAAAGGGAAGATAATTTTTTTTCCTTTGAGCAATAATTGTAAACTGAGGCCAGTCTAGCCACACCCACACTGCCGAGCATTCATTGGCTGAGTGGTGGTGTGAGTGATGGGCGAAGGTAAACATATGAGAAAGAAGGGAAACCTGTTGACGCCCTCTGAAAGGATTGGTGTGAGATACCAATATGAGAAAGGAAGAATTTGGGAGGACGGTTCCCTTACAAACTCCAACCACAGAGAGGGGGAGAACCCTTCTAAAACAGAAAGTAATTGACTTCCAAAAATGGGAAGTGATAAATTTTCCTGTCTGAAAACAAAGAAAATCCTTATTGCAGATTTGGAGTTATCGAGGAACCCAAACCACGACAGGCCCCCACCCAGTTTTGGTCAGCGTCCATATAAATGAACGTCCCCAGAGTTTCAGACAACACAGTTGGAGAGAGTTGGAGTCACAAAGTTGAGTTGCAGTTGAGCTGTGATCTCAGAGACCAGCCTTGCAGGAGCTGACTGAAAGATTTCCATGCATTCCGACTTAGACTTCTAACCAATAACAATTTTTTTTTGAAGAATGACTTAGACTCACACCACCAAAACAAGTTTTAATGAATATCGCCTGAAGATACCAAAAAGCAGTTGCTTCGGTAACCAGACATTGGAGGCGAGCTGGGAACGACAAAGCTGATGCCAAATCTAACCAGATTTCCATCCAAATCAGCCAAGGGTTAGATCGTCACAGGATGGCACAGGAGCAGGGACTGGGGTGATGTCACATTGTAGTTTCAGTCTTGTGCAGTGCCTGTAGAAATTGGTCGATTGATTCATAAAGTTTCTGGTGATGACTTGTGAGGAGGTGATGCATAAAAATTCTTGTTGGCTTAACATAAATATTTTCTAGTGTTTGTATGACTTCCTCGTATGTATTACAGCTTTCTATGTAGTCATACACTGTTCAGTCTAATAATAAGATACTGAATTTTTCCAGCGTTACACCAAGTGTCTGAATAGTGTGCAGATAGTTGCTGAATGTCCGGTACCAAAATTTCCATTCTTTAGCAGTGATTGGTGAATTGGGGCCCTGACTGAATTTTTCCAGTTTTAATACTTTGTACATTTTGAATAATTTTGAGTTGAATAAATTGTGGCAAATGATGAGACTGAAGAAAATACCTTTGGGCAATTGAGGTTTTATTCAACTCAAAAAGACACATGAGGTGTAAACAAAGATGGCGATTTTAGAACTCTTCTATGAAAGGAGAGTAAGGGCAGATAACTATAATAATTATATTATTTTACCACAGGTACATATGAATAAAAAGAAGTAACTCATACAAATATAGACATATTGAGAGAAAAGTGTAGTTTTCTGTTATGATCAGTACATAAATGATCTGCCTAAGAGTATATTCTGATCATTTGGGAATACCTATACTGATGATACAATGGTATGTGGGTGCACCTTTAAAACTACCAGACCCTGGCAGCTGATCTTTCCTATTTCAGTGGAAGATAAACTGGATGATCATATTCAATGCTTTGGAAACCAAACTAGTGATGTTCCATCATCACCAAATAGACCATGAATTTTCACCTATCGCAATGAGTGGGTGTTCACTCAGGGAGGCCTGATGCCTTGAGTGCATATTTGGAATTAAAACAAACCTCAAGATACTGGAAAAATGATTGGTTGTCTGTACTGCTCCAGTAAGTACCTGACTCCTGCTATTCTATAAGAGCCAGATCAGGCCAAGTATGGAGTACTGCTGCCATATATGGGCATTTAGCCAGTCTTCATTGTCCATTTGTCTCTGCGTCCTTGTGGGTGATGAATTATTTTTCATCCTACAACCCCTTTCCCATAGATGAAATGTCACTACCCTCTCAATGCTCTATCGCTACAATCCCCGGTTCCACTAGTTCTAACCTGCACAGTTAAGACCCATTATGTTATGAATATTTTAGTGAACCACCCTCATTCCCTTCATATTACATTGGTATGATGTATGTTCCACTCAAGCAGCTTTTACCCACAAATTGCTACTTTGTGGAACCAATTCCCAAGAGGATGCTTTTTCCAATCACTACAATCTTAACCTGTTTTAGAGTTAACTGTTGTCTTCCCTACATATCCTCATAAACTATACCTCTTACTCTGTAACCCACTACCTTGAGTGACTCTTGGGCCTTGAACGGGGTGAACATCACTGTAAAAAAAAAAATTAATGCATGCATATGTACATTTATGAATAAAGACAAAAGGAAAAAAAATTCTTATCCCATACATTTCATTCGATAGATTTTATTCAGGAAAATGTAAGGATTATATTTTGAAACAATTATTTATTAACAGAAGTAAAAATATCCTTAATTTTACAGAATTTTTAAATTTAAGAGCATTCATAAACATACTTCAGACTAATTGAACTTGAAGGTAAATTATGGAATATGCTAAGTGATGTAATTTAATGTCTATTAAATGAAAGTGAGTAAATTATGTCGTTGTTGCTGAATTTACTTTTTTTATAATGTAATTATTATTTATATTATTATAATTTGAGAAATTAATTTTTGTGTTATATATTTTAAATAACAGAAAGTTTTGAATTTAACCACTTTCTTTTACTTTTTAATTTAATTTATAGTCAGGTATGTTGGCTTGGGAAAGGAGTATTTCTTTTATGAAAGAAAATATTTGAAGAATCTGGAGCACAGATTTATATTTTGGTAAGATTTGATAGCAACACTCAAGAATTTTCTGTCTTAGTAAGTTACTTTCTCTTTTAATAAGTGTGGCATTCTTTAGGTTCTAATTATGGTTGAACTTATTTCTATGCAGGACTAATGCATTTGGTAAATTGTTGTGTATAAGATCCTTTTTGCGTTCATGGATATATGTACATTTATATACTTACTGGGTTCACCATCAGGAGAAGCTAACTGTGCCCCATCAAATTGATCCAGTTGTATGATGCCTTGTTTGTAGTGGCTGAATGCCATCTCTATTTCTCCCTCCCTATTGTGGACATCAAGATTTGAAGTAGTATCACTGTTGTAAGATTGAATTGGCCCATAGAGGCTGAAAGCTAGAAACAGGAGAAATACAACTTGGCCATGGAAATGGTACACTTGGGACTCTTGTATGCGTTGCAGTCAATAATGATTCATATGGGAGGGGTTCTTGTAAATCTTATGGTTTAAAGTGTTATTGTAAGCAATGTTTGAGAGAGCCAAGGGATAGGTAAAGAGAGATTGAAAGAAAGGTAAGCAGTAGACTGTGAGATTGGTAAGTAAGAAAATTCAAATTCAAAAAGGTTAAGCTGATAGATTGATATGTAGAAATACAGATTAAGAAGACAGATAACAACTTCATAGGAACATATAAAAGATGGAAATATGTAGATATACATTATGAAGAAAAATATGGAAAAACAAAATTCAAATATGCAAGTATGCTGTTTTAATGTTGTTTCAATGTCGACATCAGATGTTTCACAACATCGCCCACGTGACGCCCACGTGATTTTATTGCGAAACGGAATGCTGATCTTAAAAATTTCAGTTATTCTGTTTTGATTAGTCTTGTGTCTATCATCTTTTCATGTTGACTTGAATATCGTCTAATTTTAATTATGTTTTAATAACTATGTCCTGAAGAAGGTCTACTAGACCGAAACGTCTGACGTTGACATTGAAACAACATTAAAACAGCATACTTGCATATTCGGATTTTTGTTTTTCCATATTTTTCTTCATACTGTCGGATCTATATCCACATATTTGCTTACAGACATACATTATATAAACAAAATAAATCATGTATGAGTTGGTAGGTAAGAAATGAAAAAAGGAGTAAAAAAGGAATGAAATTTTTATAATAATAACTATGAAGATATTGCAGAAAAGAAGAAATTATAGAAATTAAGAAATAACAGATAAGAAAAATTATAGAACTGAAGAAATTCCAGAAAAGAAGAAATATAAACTGAAAGGAAAAGAATTTTAATAGAAGCAGGATTTGATTAAATGAGATGAAGAAAGAGGAATAAGAAATGTGAAAAATAAGAGCGATAAAAGAGTAAAGCAAAAATATTCAGAGTGAAAGAAAAAGGAAGGAATAAATAGAGGATTAATAGAAAATAGAAAAAACTGGAAAGAAGAAAGATATGAATAGGTAAAAAGAAAAGAAATAAAGGAAGTATGAAGAGAAAGAAAAAAAAAGGAAAATAAAGAGTGTCCTTGAAAGGGAAAACACAACAAAAGCAAAGGAAGAAAATGGAAAAAGATGCAGATAAAAAATGTAAAGATGAATAAAAAGTTTATAAATGAGAGGGAGAAGAAAGAAAGAAAATTTAAAGAGAAAGAAAAAAGAAAAATATAAATTAATAGAAAAACATTGATAAAAAAGAGTTACAAAAAAGAAAGAAAAAAAATCACAAAATAAAATAATAACAGTTTCTTTTATAAGAACATGGAACTCCAGACAATCATTTCAACTGATTTAAATTCGAAGCATTCATCCTGGCCTGAAGAAATGACACAGTTCTAAAAAGAATTCATTTCGAATCCCTTATAAAAATTTCTCTAGTATTCTTTACATGTTTTTAAAGACATTTTCAATTGACAAAGCAATGTAACAACAACAAACATCTTTTCAAAATTCTTTCAAGACAAAGCCCAAGGAACAAACTAGGAAATTTCTAATATTTTTAAAATGTCTTTTACTGTTTTAAAGAACTTTTAACATCCTAAAAAAACGACAGAAAACAAATATAAGAGACATGAAGACAATATTTGAACTTTTAAAATAAATTAAATTTTTTTTTTATTAGATCAGCAATCAAGAATGCATTTCCACTACATCTCAGTGGCATAGATCTGCATTCAAATTAAACTGTAGGTAGTTAGCTCATCTTGTATGTACCATATTCCTTTAGGATGTGGGTGATCATGGCTCTCCACAACATTTTATCCTTTGTAGCTCATGGCTTTTTATTATCCCTCTCACTCCCTGTTCTGCCATTCATTTACACAATTTCATTAGCTAGGTTTCTTGCTGTTTCCCCTCAGTCCCCCTAGCTTTCAATATGCCCTCTGAGTGCCATCTTTTCTCCTTATGTGAAATTCTTGACAGTTGAAACTGATTATTTGCATTTTTTACATTATTCAGACTGTTATCCTCATCTTCATTACCATATTCACAGTGTTTCAGCTGTTGTACACTCCACTTCAAGTGATTGGAATTTCAAACCACTGGGGTAGATTGTTCTATTTCCACATACCATGCCTCTCCCAGATGTCTCCATTATTTCCCTTTAATTCAACTTTCCAAGTTTTGGTTCACCACTGTTGTGGCCTTTTATTGAACTCACAACTCTGGGTCTAGTCACTGGATCTAAACAACATTTTTACTGGGCCATGTGTCCTTGAGGATAAAGAACTGGGTTTGAAATTGTTGAGCTTTTTTCTATAATTATAGGTTAAAGCTGCATATCTACCCCATGTGGTCAATTGTAATTAATCTCTTGATGAAACATCAAAAGATTAACCTTTAACATCACAAGTACAATTTTTAGCAAAAAGTTATTATTGACAATGACCAACGTAGAAAATAGAATAGACAAACTGAGTTTGAATTCATAGTCAATTTTCCCTAATATCCGTAGAAAAGGCATGAAATCATTTTTCCTTCTGTTCTGTCTTATCTGTGTCTGTCATGTTAGAATGATTGACAGAGAAAAGAGTGTGGGTAAGTGAGCAAGTAAATTGCTCTCCCATAAATACCTTACCTGCCAAGTAAATAGCATCAAAAACCTGTTACTTTCATAGAAATCATTGACAAAATCCAATTATTTTCATCAACAAAGTTGTTTTCATTTTCAGATAGCCTATTATCATTTTGACACTCTTTTTATCAGCAATATTTCCAGTTGATGATCCGTTCCTCCACCATATTTTCTGAGGAACAATCAAAATCATTTGCATTTTCATCACTGAATTTACCATCTTGAATAGAATAAAAGAGTCATCTACTTAAAATGTTTATGTTTCTGTAAATATGGTGGGTGCCATTTTGTTTCATGACAAACATTTCTTATTTTCATACAAAGCAATACTCAGTCTGTACTATTAGGTTGTGAAGAAACTCCTGTCACATTTTTGACATAATCACATTGTGGATACTTTTACAATACTTACATTAAATTTTTTTACATTGTAATGATTTCTTCTTTCTTTGCAGATTACTTAATATCAGAATGGGTAAATTTTGTATCAAGTTAACCCTTTTAAAACCCATGTCAAACACTATATACTGCATAAATTCAAAAAGAGCTCTCCAGTAAGAGATGTGGCAAGAAATATTCATTCTGTTAATAGAAATTAAGATTTAAGTGATTGGATTGGCCAATAATAGTTTGTTCAGTTTTTATTGGGATACTTTTACTTTTCTCTTAAGTATTCACCTTGATCTGGATGGCTAAGTTCTGCTTCTGTACCCGCTAGTTGGGTAATATCTGAAGCAAACTACACAAAAAATTGCTAAACAGTTCTACACAAGTCACACTCTTGTTATAAAACACCTTCATAAACTAAGTGTCTAAATTTGGTCAGTGGGTCCCTCATTATGTGACTGAATCTCAATTCAATCAAAGAGTTGCCCTCCGCTTGTTACTGAAGAGATAGAAATTGCTACTGATCCTGTCCTTGGTAGATTCACCACCAATGACAAAAGTGGATTTGCTATAACCATATCCAATGAAAACTCCCATGGTTAGAACTCATTGGAGAAAGAGAATCCATCCCCAAACTAGAAGTACACATAAAATAGGTACCAGGCGAGATATGAAGGGTTTTGTCTATCATGAAGTGTTAAATGAACAAAACAGTTACTGTTGAGGAGCATTGTTGAAAAATTAGCAGAAAAGCATCCATCATTGGTTAATTATAAAGGTGTGCAATGCCACATAATGCCTATAAAGTAACTCAGGTAAAGATTACGGCACTAAATATGAAAGTTTTTTATCCACCTCCTTACTCTCCTGAACTTGCTCCATCTATCATCTTTTCAAATCCTTACAACAATTTTAGAGAGAAAACAGTTTACTGTGACAAGACTAAAACTAATATTAAGCATTTCTTTGTATTGAAAGCTGATAAATTTTATTCCCAATGGATTAACAATTTACTAAACAGATGAGATTATATTATTGATGAGGTTAAATATTATTTTGATTAAATAAAGTAATTAAGACAAATTTGTTCCTTTTCATCTTCAAATATGACAGGATTTTCTTTACATCATAATAGAATACCTTTTACTTGCTGATAATGACACTTATAAACGTTACCAATAAGAAGACCAAATGCAAGGTTAGGTTATGTGTTAAGGACATCAAAACCAAGCAAGTGCAGAAATTTAACTAACTGGATAATATAGTAACAGATGAGAGAATGTGTGAAAGTATCAGACTCCTTCTCTCATGCTTTCTATTTAGAAGTGTCAGATCAAAAATGGAGTATTGCGGGCATATCTGGGATAGAGCTGCTCAATCATCACTTTCCAGCTTTGATGGAGTTAAAAATTGTTCATGTTCTTTTGTGTGATGATTTGTCTTCTAATCTGCAATCACAACACTGAAAGTCTGTTGCTACTTTGTTGTCATTTCCATGACAAATTCTCAGACAAACTTCAGCTTCTAGTTCCATCAGTTCAGACCTATACAGCTATGACTTGCTATGCCACTTCCACTTCTGCCTGTTCCAAATGTAAGAAGAAAATTCTGCTCAAACAGCTTTTTCTCAAGAACTGCAACTTTGTGCAACAGACTCTCACGTAGGTGTTTTCCTGAATACTTCACTCTTGACATTTTGAAGTCAAAGATCAATCATCATCTTTCTCCCTCATTCTCATTTCTTACCACTTTCACTTCCATTCATATTACACACTTCATTCGCCACTACCATTTTGTTGAAATTAAGCCTCTACCTTGATGGGTTCTTGAGGCTTTTATTGTGTGAACTATAGTAAAAAAAAAAATCCAAAGGATGCTTTTTGGGAAAATGAGCAAGGTATTAAAAGATTGAA